GATTTAATACCAACATGACATCACTGAATGCAGAGTTGGGAAGAGATGTGCCCTATTATATAGTATTTCCACTATACACATACAATAGGTATAAGTAACCCCAAGAGCATAGATAAAGGTAAAATGTAGTGAAATAATTAGGGAACAATGAATTGTATTTATTACCTTTGTTTTAATATAATGAATTATAAGTTTGTATAATTTAATTTTTGACAATGACTGTGTTTAATAGCCAGCTCACAAAATTCCTGAAAATTGAACAATTGGCTGTTATGACTTCGTGAGAGACAGTTCTAGCACAGCACTGCTTGTAGAGTGGTAGAACACGTTTCTCTGTCTCCTGTATTTTCTGTATTTCCTGAAAGTTAATAGTGAGAAGCAGAGGTTTGATCAAATTCAGGTTCAGCGTTTTGGCAAGATTGTTTGAAAGGTTATGGAAGGCTGTTGATCATCATTGCCTTTATCCATTAATTCATTAGGGCTGTGAATTGATTATTGTCTGATTCTGTCATTCATTCTTCATTTATTAGCTGGGATGATCTGTAAAGAAAAACTTACCTAGAATTAGTTGATTACACTGAGATATAAGTTCGTTTAGGAAATGCAGGATAAATAAAGGTACTTCTTTCTTTTATTTACCTATTTTAAGAAAAATGAGTTGTTTCCCTAGCATCCTTTAAAGATGCCAGTGACTTTTTTTGGATCATTATGAATTTACAGATTTAAACATCTTTGATGTGTTTTAATCCACTGAGTTTTTATTCTTATGGGTGCTTAAAGTGACCCATTTTTTAGCTACAGGGAGCCTCTTCAAGCTGATTCTTGATCCTGTGCACACACACTCAGTGGTCTCTGCTAGCTTCCTTGCTTTCTGGTAAGACAAGCTGTTCCAGACCCATCATTTCTACTTCCTGTCCCATGCTTCATACCTCATACTGAGCCATTTTTCCAAGAAGCCCATCTCCTTTAATAGAATATGGTATTTAGAGACCCGAGTCTGAGCACTAGGGGTGCTCACTGCTACCGTCTTTTTGATTGTTTCTAGGACATTTAGGTGGAGAGAGCTGGGAAATAGACATACACACATATATTTTTAAGTTCATTCAATATGTCCTTTTGAAATTTAGGACTATAAGATTGTTAGCTAAACTTCCTTACATTTGTTTCTCCTTTTCTTCCATGCTGAAAATTCCAGTTGTTAGTAACATCATACTATTACTTATTTGCTACAGATACAACAGTCACAAATAACATAACCAACACTACTTTCAATAATATGGTTACTAAAAAGTTATATATAGAGATGACTAATCAAATTCATATGTTAAAGGCACTTTAGTTTCTCCTGATGGTTATATCACTAGCTTGATAAACATTTAGGTTAATTTGATTAATTTTGCTTTCAAATTTTAGAGATTGAATTTTAATTTAAATCTGTTTTATACCTATGTAAAATATTCACGTTTCCAAAGTTCGATCTGATAAAACGTGATATTTTCCAACTAGCTTCTATCCCTGTTCTTTCCCTGGTTTATATTACAATGAAAAAAAACCTATATGTATTAATGTTTGCGTGTCTCCCTATGCCTTAGGTGAATGGTAACATACGTTCTTTTTTTATTTTTTAATTTAAAAAAAAATTTTTTTTTTAAATTATTTTTTATTCCCCCAAAGCCCCAGTAGATAGTTGTATGTCATAGTTGCACATCCTTCTAGTTGCTGTATGTGGGACGCGGCCTCAGCGTGGCCGGAGAAGTGGTGCGTTGGTGTGCACCCGGGATCTGAACCCGGGCTGCCAGCAGCGGAGCGCGCACACTTAACCACTAGGCCACGGGGCCGGCCCGGTAACATACATTCCACCTTGCTTTTGTATCAGTATATCCAGGAGGTGCTCCATAGCAATATATATATTCCTCATTCCTTTGTAAGCTGCTTAATATTGGTGTTTAATATCCATAATTTTTTACCCAATTCCTTTCTAGATGAGTTTGGGTTGTTTCTAGTATTTACTATTACAAAGTCTTAATGTCTTTTCATATTTTTGCCAGTATGTGTTTGAGATACTTATTTTTCCAACATTTTATTATAAAAATTTTCAAACACAGCAAAGTTTAAAGAATTTTACAGTAAACACCTATACCCACCACCTAAACTGATATAAAATTTATTGTGAAATGTACAAAAACAAATGTACAGTTATTGTTTTGAAAAGTGCATATACTTGTGGAACCCACACTCCTGGGTTATAGAGATATAGAATGTTACCGTCACCCGAGGAAGTTCGCTCATGCTCCTCCATAGGGAGCCACGGCTTTGATGTTTTTTCTAGTGTCACATTTGTATTTTAAAATCACTTTACAAATGTCTCTACTTTGGATGCTCTATGATTAGTTTTCTCTCCTGATTTTTCTTGTGTTTTTATATCAGTAACCTGTAATCTAGAACCTTAGATTACATTAGCCTTCATTGAGAGCATTATAGACTAGATTCCCTCCGTACTCCACATCGAATATGTTTTTTTTCTTTTAAACAACCTTATTGAGATATAATTTCCATATTACACAATCCGGCTGTTTAAACTGTACAGTTCAGTGGTTTTTGGTATTTTACATTATTAAATTCTTTTTTGTATATAAAGGCTTCTTTTTTTTTTTTTTTTTTTTTTGTGCTGAGGAAGATTCACCCGGAGCGAACATCCATGTCAGTCTTCCTCTATTTTGTATGTGGGTCACTGCCACAGCATGGCTGCCAATGAGTGGTGTAGGTCTATGCCCGGGAACTGAACCTGGGCCACTGAAGCAGAGTGCGCCGAATTTAACCACCTAGGCCATGAGGCTGGCCCTACATTATTAATTTTTTAAAATTGTAGTAAAATATATAACATAAAAATTGCCATTTTTACCATTTTAAAAAAGTGTACAGTTTAGTGGCATGAGTTGCATTCACGTTGTGTGCAACCATCACCACTATCCGTCTCTATCTTCACCATCACAAACAGAAACTCTGTACCCGTGAAACAATAACTCCCCATTCCCCCTTCCCACAGCCTCTGGTAACCCTATTCTACTTTGTCTCTATGAATTTGGCTACTCTACATACCTCATATAGGTGAAATGCAATATTTGTGCTTCTGTGTCTGGCTTTTTTCACTTAGCATGATGTTTTCAGGTTCATCCATGTCATAGGCTGTATCAGTACTCCATCTTTCTCTTTTGTATATTATCTTTTTGTTGGTGGTAAAACCTATATATTACAATTTTAATCATTTTAATGTATACAATTAAGTGACATTTAGTACATTCACAGTGTTATGCAACCATCACCATTATCTAGTTCCAGAACATTTTCATCACGCCATACCCATTAAGCAGTCACTCCCTATCCCCTCTCCACACAGTCCCTGGCTACCACTAATGGGCTTTCTGTCTCTATGAATTTGCCTTTTCTGGATGTTTCATATAAACAGAATCATACATAAGCTTTTTGTGCCTGGTTTATTTCACTTAGAATAGTGTTTTCAAGGTTTATTCATGTTGTAACATGTATCAGTATTTTATTTCTTATAGCCAATGATATTCCATAGTACAGATATACCATATTTTGTTTACTCATTCATCAGCTGATGGACATTTAAGCTGTTTCTACTTTTTGGCTGTTAGGAATAGTGCTTATACCATTCTTCTGTATGTTTTCACATGGATATATGTTTTTGTTTCTCTTGGGTATATTACCTAGGAGTAACACTGCTAGGTCAGGTGGTGACTCTATGTTTAAATTTTTGACCAGACTGTTTTCCAAGTTGGCCACACCATTTCATATTCCCACTAGCAATGTGTGAGGTTCTAATTTCTCCAAATCCTCGCTGCACTTGTTAAATTTATTTTTTATTCTAACCATCCTAGTGAGTGTGGAGTGGTGTAAGTCATTGTGGTTTTGATTTGTATTTCCCTGATGTTATATTATGATGCTAATGATGTTGAGGATCTTATTGGCGATTTATAGATCTTTTTTGGAAAAATGTCTATTCAGAGCCTTGCCTGTTTTTTAGTTGGGTCATTTCTTTTTATTGAGGTGTAAGTGTTCTTTATGTATTCTAAATGTAAGTCCCTTATCAGAAATATGATTTGCAAATATTTTCTACCATTCTGTGGGTTGTCTTTTCACTTTCTTATTGGTGTCCTTTGCAGCACAAAAGTTTAAAGTTTTGGTAATGTCCAGTTTATCTACTTTTTCTTTTGTTGCTTATGCTTTTGGTGTCATATATAAGAAACAGGTGCCTAATCTAATATCATGAAGGTTTATGTCTGTTTTTTCTTTTAAGAGTTTTATACTGCTAGCGCTTATATTTATGGTGTGAGATAGGGGTCCAACTTCATTCTTTTGCAAGTGGATATCTAGTTTTCCCAGCACCATTTGTTTAACAGACTATTGATTCTCCTTTGAATTGTCTTTGGCACTCTGGTTGAAAAAAATCAGTTGATCATAAATATGAGGATTGATTTCTGGAGTCTGAAATCTATTCCATTGATCTATATGTCTGTCTTCTGTTTTCTTTTAAAAACTCATGAATTTAAAGAGGATATTTAAAAAAACATGCATTTGTGACCCATTGTTTTATAACCTCTGTTCATGGTTTCCTATATTTGTTTTGTCTCAATAGCTTCTCCCATTTTCTTCTAGAATTATCTCATTTTGTGTGTAATGCCATCCAGGAAGGGAGTGCCTGGTGGTGAAGCATAATGTTAATATCATCAGGATGGTGATGTTCCCATTTTTCAAAGACTGCTTTAAACACAGGAAGTATCTTCAGTTGGCAATGTTGGCATAAAATGATGAATATAAAATAAGGAAGCTTATGGTTCAAAGATTTTCTTACCTTATTTAGATTTGACATGGAGTGCATGAAAGTATGTTAAACTAATGGTTATGACTTTTTCTTTGAGAGAGTAGACATTTCAGACCCATCAAAAATTATTCTTTATGACTATACTTCTTTATAGAGTTCCTGAGTTGGAGGTAGAAGAAGAAACTCAAGTTCAAGAGATGACCCTAGATGAGTGGAAAAATCTTCAAGAACAAACCAGACCAAAGCCTGAGTTTAACATCCGGAAACCTGAGTCCACTGTCCCTTCCAAAGCAGTGGTGATACACAAGTCGAGATACAGAGATGATGTAAGCATCACGTTTCTGTCTAGAGGGAATCTTCACTGCTGCCTTATTGGAAACAAAATGGGCCTGTCCACTTCTATTTTGAAAATGGAATGTCGTAGTTGGCATTCTAGTTTCTACCTAAGAGTAATTAGAGATGATGTGTGCCTAATTTTACTGTATCTTTATTGTTCATTAAGAAAAAGAATTGAATCCTGATCTGTTGACACTTAGTACACAGCAGTTAGAGTGACGGTGCGTTTTCTGCTCGCACTGGTACTGTGCTGAGACTGTGAGAACACTGTATGTTAATTGCATTTCATTTTTGTCTCAAAAGAGAGATTCACGAGCCAGTCCTGATGTTCTAGTGGTTCAAGTTCGGTGCTCTCACTGCTTTGGCAGCCCAGGTTCCTTTTCTGATCATGGAACAACACCACCCGTCTGTCAGTTGCCATGCTGTGATGGTGGCTCACATAGAAGAACTAAAAGGACATACAACTAGTATATGCAACTGTGCACTGGGGCTTTAGGGAGAAAAAAAGTTATATAAAAAGAGAAGTTCAGAATGTTTTGTGAATGATGACCTTTCAAAGTATAACTACTCTGCATTTTGTGATTAGATTACCTTCAGCTCTAATTCTTTTTTGTTTATTTCTTTAATTTCCTTTATTTTTTATTTATTTTTTTTTGTTTTATTTTACTTTTTAAAATTTAATTATTTTATTGAGGTCATATTGGCTTATAACATTGTGTAATTTCAGGTGTACATTATTGTATAATATCAGTTTCTGTATAGACTGCATCGTCCTTGCCACCAATAGTCTAGTTTTTATCCCTCACCAAATATATGTGCCCCTTAACGCCTTTTGGCCTCCCCGCCGCTTCCCCTCTGGTAACCACTAACCTGTTCTCTTTATCCCTGTGTTTATCTTCCACATATGAGTGAAATCATAAGGTATTTGTCTTTCTCTGTCTGACTTATTTTGCTTAGCATAATACCCTCAAAGTCCATCTATGTTGTTGCAAATGGCATGATTTTGTCTTATTATGGCTGAGTAGTACTCCATTATACATGTGGTATATATACATATACCACATCCTCTTTATCTGTTCATCTGTTGATGGGCACTTGGGTTACTTCCACATCTTGGCTATTGTGAATAATGCTGCAGTGAACATAGGGGTGCATAAATCTCTTTGAATTGTGGATTTCATGTTCTTTGGGTAAATACCCAGTAGTGGGATAGCTGGATCATATGGTATTTCTGTTTTTTTTCTTTAATTTTTTGTTTATTGCAGTAACATTGGTTTATAACATTGTATAAATTTCAGGTGTACATCATTATACTACTATTTCTGCATAGATTACATCATGTTCACCACCCAAATACTAATTACAACCCATCACCACACACATGTGCTGAATTATCCCTTTTGCCCTCCTCCCTCCCCCCTTCCCCTCTGGTAACCACCAATCCAATCTCTGTCTCTATGTGTTTGTGGGTTGTTGTTATTATCTACTACTTAATGAGAGAAATCATATGGTATTTGACCTTCTCCCTCTGACTTATTTCACTTTGCATAATACCTTCAGTGTCCATCCATGTTGTCACAGATGGCTGGATTTCATTGTTTCTTATGGCTGAGTCGTATTCCATTGTGTATATATACCAGATCTCCTTTATCCATTCATCCCTTGATGGGCACTTAGATTGCTTCCAAGTCTTGGCTATTGTGAATAACGCTGCAGTGAACACAGGGGTGCATGTATCTTTACGCATTGGTGTTTTCAAGTTCTTTGGATAAATATCCAGCAGTGGAATAGCTGGATCGTATGGTAGTTCTATCCTTAATTTTTTCAGGAATCTCCGTACTGT